CGCCGCGGCCGCGCGCGGCCGCCTCGCGGCCGCCGTCGAGGCGGGCGACGCGGCGGCGGCGGAGCGGCTTCTGTCCGAGATCACCCTCGCCCCAGGGGAGCTGCGACGCGACCTCCTCTGCCACGCCGCGTCCAAGGGTGATCTGGCAATGCTGCTGCTGCTGCTCGACCGCCTCGGCCCTTGGATGGGCGAGGAGGTGGACGCCGTCGCGTCTCTGGTCAAGAACGGCCACGGCCGGCTCATGCCCGCCCTCCACGCGGCCACGGCGCCGCCGACGACGGCGCGGCTGCTGCGGGCGTGCTGCAAGCTGTGCGGCCCATGGCTGGTGCCGGAGGCCGGGCTCATGCTGTGGGCGCTGCGCACCACGACGAACCCATCCGCGCTGGATTTGATGGTGGGCGCCGCCACCCTGTCGCTTAAGGCTGTTTTCTGCGTGTCTTGAGTCATCTTGGTGCTTCTATGCATATCCATGCTCGTTTTTCAGGCTCCCAGGGGACGTTCCCTCTCCTCTCCAGAACAGCCACAGCCTCATCTCTCCCGGCAAACCCTGCCGTCAGACGCCACCCAGGCCCTGCGCCGCGCCCCCCCTGCCGACCGCACCGGCGCGCATGCCACCCCGCCCGGCCCGCCGCAGATGGCCGAGTACGCGGGCGCGTGGCACGCCGCCTGCAGCAGCATTTACCTGGGAGGCCTCGTGGCGCCGCACCCTGAGGTCTCCCTGGCGCTCAGCCCCGTGGCGGCTGTCTGGACGGAAGTCTTCGCCGCCTTGGCGGCGCAAGGCGGGGGCGGGGGCGGCGGCGGAGGCATGGACGCCGGCGCCCCTGGGTGCAGGAGCGAGCCGAGTGTTGGGCGACTGCCGTGCACGGGCGCAGGCAGCGGCAGGGGCGGCCGCGGCAGGCACGGCGGCAGCAGCGGCGGCGGCGGGCGGCGGGCCGCCGCTGCGATGGGGCGGGTGCCGCATCCCGCCCCCGCTGAGCAGCGGGGGCGAGAGCCGGCGCTGGCGCCCGGCGCCGTCAGATTCACGGCGCGCATGATGCGGCTGGTGCTGCAGACGGGCGACCCGGACCTCATCAATCAAGCCCTCGCATTCTTGGAAAGGCATGCGGGGCGGCTGCAGGTCGCATGAGTGGCGGTCATCGGCAGCAGACTTCCGACATCCCTCCAATTCTAGGTAGAAACGAGGACTATGCATTGGTTCGCTGCTGTATCTGTTGGCTGGGGTTGCAACACTGTCTGCCTTCTGGCGTTTGTGTCTATCACGTGCCATGTTGTGACACACATGGCAAAGGGTGACGGTGCATGTTGTTGGTGGAGGCAACTACTGGGTCAACCCCCACATTGCCGGCACACAGTGCGCTTCGCTTGGCGCATAGATTGCTGTTTTCGTACCTTGTGGCATGGCGGTTACAGTACGTGTATGCCTGCCTCGAAGCAAACACGCTGCTCAACCATGCTCGGGACACCACCTGCCCGTGTCATGTCACGAGGATGTTGCTTTTGTAGACCCGTCAACGCTAAATGTCGACTTGATCGACAGTGTCGGCGCTCATACTCGCACAACAGCAGCCAAGATTTCCATAGATGGGAGTATCACTTAGCAAATCAAGTGTGGGGTACTTTTGTAGCACTGGCTGCAGCAGGCACTCGGCGACACCGCGGCACCGGGACGCGTCGCCGGCCTTGCGCTTTGTTACGCCACTGTGTAATGAAGCATCGGGATTGGACCAGCGTGCTCATCAACCATAACCTGGCAGCATGCGGGCGCTCATACGCAGTTTATGATCTGTGCTGCGAAGGGCCGGAATGGAGCGCGCTTTGAACTCTCTGCGCTCGATATCGCGCAAGGCCATCAAGGAAATCAACGCCAGCGTTGAGCACAAGTGCGCTCGCAACACCTGGCTGCGTCCGTGGTCGGGGTCCAGGAGGCTTGGCCGTGGCTCGTAGCCTATAGAGACGTGTGAAAATAATTGAACGGACCCATTCAGGGCGGCTGCCAACGGCTTCTGCGCCGCGCGTCGTGTGCCTTTTGCAGGGAATGGCCCGCCACCGCGGCCGACTACGAGTTGCTCGAGGACTGCGGCCGGGGCGTGAGCGCCACAGTGAGTAGCTGTGGCAGCTGATGCATGCATTCAGCAACGGTGCCGTCCACGCATTTGGTCATCGAGAAGAGCTCGGAAATACATCGCCCTCGCGCATGCCGGCACCCGTGCTGTTACCGCCGCCAGCCGCGCCGCCGCCGCGCCAGCGGCGCACCGCTTGGAAGAAGCCGGCCCACAGCTGCCGCGGTTGCCGCGCCGCTGCCGCCGCAGGTGCACCGGGCGATATGTAAGAAGACGAAGGAGGTCTGCGCTGTCAAGAAGCTCAATCTCGAGAGCATCAACTGCAACTTGGTGCGGCGGCGCAAGCCGGCAGCAGCCCCTGGCCGCGCCCCGCGCTCTGCAGGCCGTCGCTGCTACCTGCCAGCTTGCCGGCACGCAGCAGCCCTTTGCCCGGCGCCGAACGCCCCGCTCGCTGCGCGCCGAGTGCGGGCTGCGCGACCGCACCGCGCCCGCGCGCTGCCGGCTGAGTCGAGCCGCGTCCATCCTGTCCAAGAACTGCCCATCCTCAACCCATCAACCCGTACCGCCCTGCCCGACCCCATGACATGTCATCCATCCGCCCACCCACCCCCCCTGGGGTCACCCCAGGATGACATCATTCATGAGGCCCAGACCATGAAGTCGTACAGCCACCCCAACGTGCTGTCCCTCTACGCCAGCTTCGTGGCCGGGCAGGACTTGTACATGGTGACACCCTTCTGCGCGGGCGGCAGCGTGCTGCACATGATGAAGTACGGCCACCCAGAGGTGCGCGCGGGTTGTGTGTGTGAGTGGGTGCATGTGAACGCCTGCGTGGTGTGTTGGCAGACGTGTGCTGTGTATTGGGATACTCGGCGTAGCGTGGGGCAGAGGGGGCGGGCGCACGCCGCTCTTGCCTGCTGGGTCGCAGATCTGTATACGCGTCCGGCCAGGGCGACGGGCCGCATCATGAAAGAGGACATCGTTAGTGACAAATCCCCTGATCTGCAGTAGTCGTGGGAAATCTGAATGTGGCCTTGTGGTCCATCCTCCCCAGGGCCTGAGCGAGGTGGCGATTGCGACTGTGGTGCGCGAGGTGCTCAAGGGGCTGGACTACATGCACAAGAACGGCGGCATCCACCGCGATGTCAAGGTGTGTGATTGTGTGTGTGTGTAGTGTGTGTGTGTGTGTGTGTTTGTGTGTTGTGTGTCTGAGCGATGCTGATATATTGACTGATAAGCGCACCTGTTGTTTGTTTGAGAGACGACACTCAGTTTTTCTGCTGTGCCATGTATGCATGTATGCGAGCGTGCGTGGGTGTGAGTGTGTGTGGTGGGGGCACGCGGCCCAAGCGGGAGAAGAATGGGGGGTGCAGTGAGGGCGGCGTCAAGGGCGATGCAGGCTGGCGTGGCGCGGGCGGTGTGGGGAGGGGGGCGCGCGCGCCACGATGGCACAGTGGGCCGCAGCGTCGCGGGGTCGCGGAGCCGACGGCCCAGCGTTTCCGGCAGCGCCGCGGGCAGCAGCGGACGGGCCGCCCCTGACGCTTCGCGGGGCGCATCCTCCCCACTCCCCTGTGCACACTCCGCAGGCCGGCAATATCTTGATTGATAAGGACGGCAGCATCAAGATCGGGGACTTTGGGGTGGCGGCCACCGTCGAGCGCGGCGGGTCCTGGGGCAACGACAAGATGACGCGGACGACGTTCGTCGGCACCCCCTGCTGGATGGCGCCGGAGGTCATGGAGCAGACGCAGGGGTGAGTACCTGCCGGGAAGCTGCCGGGAAGCTGCCGCGGAGGGCGGGGGTGGCATGGGCGCCCGGGGG